ACTGCCATGCTTGCGAAGAAGATAAGATGGCTGACATGCGAAAATGCCAAAAATTTGGAAAATGGTTCCATGAAGAATGTGTTGGTTTGTCGGTTGATGGTACCGACACATTTGAGTGTCCTGATGGCTGCAACTAAATTGATCGGTATCAGTCTGCTTGACCAGCAAATCCATCTAATTTTCTATAGTATTTAATGTTAAATTACTTCACATACCTGATTATGGATCTCAAATACTAAATATTGTTAGTTATTATAAATATTTAAGACTGCTGAAGTAATAGGCCTAATTTCCCTGCCATAGTAAATTAAGGCCTATAAATAAAGTTTTTAAAAAGTTTTAATCCTGTTTTTATTTATGGCAGAAGTTGTTATTTTATGTTATTATTGTATAGTCCTTAATTTATATTAAGACTGATTAGAAATTCAACCTGTTGATTAACGACTACATTTTTCATTTTATTTGAAATCTCCCTTAGCTAGGCCTTAATACCCTCCGGTACCTTATATCATTACTGAACGTAAAATTTGATTTTGTACTCGTTAAAAAAACTCTCGTTAGAATATTGCAAGAAACAATCAAAAGATACCTACTTAACTCTAAATGAGATACACTTTTTGTGAGCTATTTTTGGCCAAAATAATCCTTATTCAAAAACATGAAATTCTTTTTTTCAATTCCTTTTTTAAATATATTTGAGACATTATTTAAATGTCTCTAATAAACTATAACATATAAATTTCAATATTTTTTTTGCGGGAAATGAGTAATTCGTTTTTCATCGATTGTAAGAAAGTCCTCTTTTTGTGTTAATACACTATTGTATTAACAGTGCGATATAGTTCTCACACTTGTCTTGTCATTTCCGTATATGGTGCAAAGACTTGAACAGTTGCAGTGCCACTGGTTTGGCGCAGAAATAGGTAAGGTGGCAGTACTACCCTGAACGAACTCTTTCACAAGGAGTTCTACTGCTGGTAAAAAATGTGTATTTTAGTTCTGTTCTTCTTCTTAACTAAAGTTTACTAATTTGTTATTGTTTTAGATGCTCTTATCGTCGGTAACGGAGTAGCCATGGTCCTGCGCGTGTGCCAAGCTGCTGGAGATCTGCAGGACAGCGCGAGGCTGCTCTGTGCGTCGTGGGACACTTGGCTGTTTTTAACACGTAAGTTTAGTATTCTTGAACACAGAAGCGCGAAGATCTGAAAATTGCGATGCCGGGGCCGCTCTTAACAACTGAGCTACATAAATTGTATACAAACATTTCTTTTTTTTAAACCTAGTGACGGGACGAAAAGTCGTGGTGGTAAACGACACGCCTATCTATAATAGTTTTTCTTTTAATTTATTTATTGTATAAAGGACAAAATACACTTTTTCACTTTTTTCACGTTTCTAATCGCATTTTAAATCACTAAGGTTTGTCATAGTTGCAGTGTCATTCAAAGCATTTTAATGCGATTTATCGCAAAGGTCTTATAGGCTCTGCAACTGTGCCCGTCATCATGAGACGTAAGTAATTATCAAAGAAAATAAATATTTCGATAATTTCCAAACCTGATAATAAGTGCATTTGGCCTGAATTGCGTTGCTGTAAAAGAATGAAAAAGCCTATACTTATTATGTTGCTTGCAGTGTTCCTAGTAGAAGCCGGGCTTCGAATGATGGCGAGCGGGCTGCACGCGTACCTAGAGAGTGGCTGGAACGTGTTCGATCTCAGTGTGACACTGCTGGCTTTGATGGGTGCGGTGCTGCTCAGTATGGCGCCCAAGCTGTTTATTGTTGTTATGTTCAGACCGCTCAGGTATACTGCATTAGTACAAACTGATTTAGATTACCGACTTTATTTCGTTGTTATCAATTTTATAGACCAATAAACACTGGTCATTTTGCCTGGCCAAACATTATTCTGCCATGCCCGGTAATTTTCAGAATAAATGTATATATTTTGTACATATATTACTCTGCACTAAATAAATAAAGAAGACAATAATTGTTTACAAATAAGTGGAAAAATTTCTTACAACGGAACTGTTTTTAGAAATAATTAAAACTTTTTTATAAAAAAAAACAACCTCAAAAGTTCGTGGAATAACATCTGTTTGCCAAGTTTTATTGAAATTCGTCCCCTTGTTTACCACCCTTGGAGGTGGAATATTTTCTTTAAATTTAAATGGGACTAATACTGAGGTACCTTTCCTACAAAAAAGAATCATCAAAATTAGTTCATAAATCGTAATCGCGAATTATGCACACAGAAGTCGGTCCATTATATGAGTTTTATGATAATGAAAATAGATACTGTACTTGTGAAGTAAGTTAAGTTGCAGTACCCTTACAGGATTTATGTTGGAGGAGCAACTTATGACTATGAATTACTTAGGACCATCTAATTGTTAGTTAGTTGTTAAATGCCTCTAATGTGTGTAGTGATTGTATTTTTTATTTTGTTACCAGACTAATGCGTCTTTACAAATTGAAGAAGCGGTACCGCGATGTGTTCGGCACTCTGGTTCTGTTGTCACCGCTCATGTCCTCGGCGGGTTGTGTTATGCTGGTTATGTACTATTTCTTCGCTATCGTTGGTATGGAATTATTTGCTGAATACGATTTGAAGAACTGCTGCGTGTAAGTATAGTTTGCGTTTAAGGTTGATTGGGTTTTATCATTGAAAGTGCGCCTGATAGAATGATACAAGTATGCATTAATAACAGATGTATATTTTTGCTCAGTATGTTTTCACAGGTGCTAAATCGAAGTTGACTCTTAACACAGTTAAACTATTCCTTGATTACACCATGTAACACGATTTTCGTTTCTGGGTTATTTATATTATTTTCTAACTGGTTCTATCATTAAAACATGAAAAAATGTTTATTTCCCTGCATAAACTTTGCTACCATTAGGGAAACAAAAAAAATTTCGCGTTTCTCTTCATTCAATCACAAAAAGGGAACAATATATTTAAAATCGATAGTGTATATCAACCAATTGATGACAAAGAACGTAAAAATGTGTAGATTTGCGAGATAATATAAATACCAGTCTGTAGCTATATTATTAGGCAGCTACATACCAGTGTGACAACCACAAAAGCAAAATTTCAGAGATACTGCTGACTTTTCTACATATTGTTATTTGCTGCCCAATTAAACAGAAACCAATACTGTCAAACCAGAAACAGAAACCTGTCTGAAAATTTGTTTCATAGTGTTATTATGTTATTCGTAATATTATTATGTAAATATGTATTAATTGTTGTATTTAAAAGTTGTTTGCTAATAAATTGAATACAGAGTTTTGGTACAAATACTCCTTGAATGATTTTAGCAATACAACAGTGGAGGATTTCTACAAATTCTCGGAAAATGCGTCGACGACACTCGGTTACTACTATTTAAACAACTTCGAGAACATTCTGACAAGTGGTGTGACACTGTTCGAGCTTACTGTGGTCAATAATTGGTTTATTCTTATGAACGCGTATGCCACAGTCGCAGGGCAGTTTAGCAGAATTTATTTCATGGTTAGTAAACTGAATGAAAAATGTATCTAAACTTGTCATAGATAGTATAGTGCAATATTTATAAGTTTCATATTAAATACGTCTAAATAATTATAAAATTTTCAGGTATTCTATCTATTTACAATGGTGGTATTGACTATAGTGGTTGCCAGCGTGCTAGAAGCCTTCAGGTTCAGGATACAGTATAAGAGAAGCACTACAAAGAGAGACGGTGAGGCATTTTAAATGATGTTTTACTTGTGTTCACATTTTTTTATTACATGCGCCCGCACCCGCACCCGCTGTCAGTGAGTTTTATTTATATATTTAACAGTTATACCGCGCTGTATACAGGATCATTTCAACAAGATTTTTCTGACGATATTCAATAGCAAGTTCATTGAAAAAACGTGCCAAATGATTTTAATTATCAATGAAATAGTTTTTTTATCGTTTCACATAACAACGATTCTCTAATTTGGTAGGCTCTTTTTTCAATCAACTAGTTTTTTTTGTAATACTAAGTGACGGCACGAACAAGTCGCACGACACGAAATTACGTTTGACTTCGCGTCGTCCGATGTTGTGGTGATTCCCTAACTGTTGAATCCGATTTGGCAGCACGGATTCGCACTTTGGCTGATGATCACTTTTTTTTTATAATACCAAGTGACGGGACGAACAAGCCGTGGGCCTGGTGGTAAGCGACACGCCTGTCCATAACAGTTGCGCTGCCTCTCAACGCTTTAAATTACAAAGGTCTGAGGGGCACTGCCACTGCGCTCGTCACCCTGTGACATAAGTTGACAAGTCCCATGTGCTGGTAATTTCACCAGCACCCTTACCCTTCAAAATCAGAACGCAGTAGACTTTCACTAGATATTATAAAATAAAAAAAATAAAAACAAATGCCTAAGGCGTTGTTGAAAATTAAAAAAAATTCATAATATTCTCACAGGTGGTGCTAAGGCAAAAAGGCTGTTAAAACCAAAATAAAGATGTAAAATATGCACATGGAATTGATTTTACATTGTTTTGAGATTTACAAGGCACACTAAATGGCAGTGCCATAGATTTAGTATATAATAATAATAATAATAATAATAATAATAATAATAATAATAATAATAATAATAATAAATTTATTTATTTAGGCATAAATCCCATTAATTAAGTGCATATATAAGGCTTTTCTATTTATGTATATAAAATATAACTCCCAACTGAAATTAGTTATTAAACTAAAGAAACAATTTAATATTTTTCAGAGGAGAAATTATTACACGAAGAAGTTCATACGAACTGGGACGAAGCGCAGAGATTGGGCGTTGGTGGTGACATGGCTGACGAACTTAGACAATATCTGCCACCAGGGGTAAGATACATTTACATTGGAACGTATTTACGAATTCAATTTATTTAAACGGTGAATGGATACATCATGAGGTAACTGATTATATTTCCATCACCACATCACATTTTAAATTGTTTTATGTCGCGTCTTCGTAGATAATCTTTCGATCGATGCATCAAAGCAATGCAAAATTTACAGTGCATACAAGCATATGAATATGGCTTTTAGAAGAGACACGTGCTCAACAGTTTATAGGTACAATTATACTATGCATTATTTTGATTTACGTGTAAATTTTGTTATAGGTGGATGTTACATTCATTGGATCGAGACCGCGTACGAAAGAAGTACTCCAGAGACGGATGTATCAGTCTGAAATACAGAAATGGCTGGCTGAAGAAGATGAGAATGAAGGTTAGTAGTTAAACTTTTAACGTAAGTTTATTAATTCGTAGTCTTCATGGTATAATAAAGTTACTTGCTGTGAGCTTAGCACCATGAAAGTCGTAAAAATAACTACATGAAACTGAAATTTTATAACTATCCTATTCAAATATAAAAAAGTTATTGAGTAATTTGCTTTGTAGAATATTTAAAACTCTTTCCTGACAAGTTGTTTGAATAGTTGGTGAAAGTAAAATAAAATGCATAAACGCCTGCTTTTAAATGAATGGCAATTTTCTTATTATTTAATTGCACTAAGAAAAGTGTCAGGCGTTATTACTAATTAGCACAGAACAATAAATACAGTAGAAGTGGTTAGTTAGCGTCGGACGCGTGGCAACTATAGGTCTCGAAAGACGTATCTGAGCTCGGTCCCCCATTTTCGCTTTGTACGATATGCTTGTGTCATTATTTCGTGGAAATTCTCTAAAATCCTAGAAAACGCCTTGTTACGCTGTTTCGGAGTGCACGTGGTGATATTTCATATCATGGGAAAGTTTTATTTCAATAAATTCTCAATTTTCTGTTTATCGAAAAAATTATTTTGATACAAGAAACGAAAGTAAAGCTTATATTATACCCCTGCAATATGGTCGCTTCTTATTTGGAGCTCTAAATTACAATAATAACTCCAATTCGTCGTGGTTCAGAAATTAAAAGCTAGATGGCAGCAAATTTATTGAAATTTCAATATAATATCAAAACGCCGTAACTTGTAATAATAGGTATGCATGTTATTGAACTTTCAACGGTATGCCAACAGGGTAAAGTTTAAATTATATTGACAATCATAATAAATCAATAAAGTTTTTTTCTTCCGTGGTAAAATGCATAAGTGTTGGGTGGTCTTCTATAAATGAAATAAATATTTTCGTACAATAAGTATTTTATTATTAGTTTAAACAAATAACGCCATTTTATCCACGTGTCAACAAAAAAAAACAACGTATTTTTCTAAGCGCAAAAGCAGAGACAATTCAATATTCAACACTCCACCTCGCTTTGATATTACATAACATTACAAAACATTAACAATCAACACAGATTAACTTTTAACAAGTTATGAAAATTTGTAAATTTATCAATACGTATGTAAATATTTGGTTAACATGTCTGCTAAATTGTCATTGCTATTACCCTGAGTAACAGTTATTACGTTATTACATTATTTTTAATCAAATCTTTAATAAAATTATATCGAATATCAATATGTTTCGATCTTAAACTATTTTCAAAACTTTTAGTAATACAAATGGCTCCAATATTGTCCATCTTAATATTAGGAATCACATTACATTCAAAATCCATAGAAAGACCTTTCATATTTCGTAACTCACTAGCAGTAGTGGCGGCCGCAATACCACAGACTCCCAAACTCACAGACGGTATGGAGCCCCTTAGTTTACGGAGAGACGTTGGCTTTCTATGTGTGTTCCACCGCCGTCTCGTTTCTACCATCGCACCTCCCGCCAAAGGAGTAGAGCCCAACCTCACATCTTACATGCCTGGCATTGTAAACCCACACGGGCATCTCGTTCGTTCCTTCCTCGAAACTGCAAGGTGTGGAATGATCTTCCTCCTGAAGTGTTCCCTTTGCACTGTGACGTGGGGTTCTTCAAAAAGCGTGTTTACAGGGCTCTCAAAGCTGGCAACGCTTAGGCAGCTCATCTGATGTTACAAATATCCATGGGCGACGATGACCACCTCCCATCAAGTGGTTCGTCGGCTCGTTTGCCTCCTTCTTTACATAAACAAAAAAAAAAAATACTCCGCCTCGGCGGTCGACAACGCTACACAATTTTGTTCACGTAGCGCTGTGGAAGCGAGCTGGGCCCATAAGCATTGTTGGGTGCTCTTCTATAAATGAAATAAATCTTCTGTACTATAAGTATTTTATTATTAGTTTAAACAAATAACGCCATTTTATCCACGTGTGAACAAAAAAACCAACGTATTTTGCAGAGACAATTTTATATTCAACAATAAGCACCTGATTTTAAATGAATGACAATTTTCTTAATATTTAATTGCATTAAGAGAGTTGTCAGGCGCTATTCCTAATTAATCAAATTACTCTGTAACATTGCTATTTAAATTTTGACAGGCGTTGTTCAAGCAAATTGTAATCATTATTTTTATCTAGGTATGCCACCTTCCACAACACTGACTTCAAGTGAGGATATGCTACCGCCGCCGCTGATTCAGCAACCCGACACTGGTAACCACCAGTTGCGTCCAGGGTACCAGTTGTAGAATTGGCTTATAGCCGAGCTTGGCGATCGCGTCGCCGTCCTCTGGGACGCTCTCAAGTCTTTATGAGTGGTGAGGACGTTTCAAGTGCTTTATTAATCAGTACAATTGTGGATTTGTCTTTATGGACATGCAAAAATAATCAAATTTAAGAACAAAGTGCTATGTTCGTAGTTTGCGTATACGGACGTCTTGCCAGTGACTACACACTTAAGTTGATAGTACAAGGCATTTTACCAAATACCGAAACGACATTATGAGATATAAAGTAAGTCATAGCTATAACAAAACAAATTAAATATCTAAGATTACACTACCGCTTAACTGAGTTGGGTCCTAAGGTAACTGCGCGGTGCGGTAGGGGTGACAGTTTACGTACAAAAACCGACAAACATCTGGAGGAATAAGTACAGAGTACTAAAAAAAAACCGACTCAAAAATTCGTAAAATTACATCTATTTTCAAAAAGATTTATTGCAATCGGTTACCGGAAAGTGCGCGAAACCGGAGTCATCACTTAGTTTGCCACCCTTAGAGGTGGAATATTTTCTTCAAACAATACTGAGGTACCCTCTTTCCAACAAAAAAAGAATCGTCAAAATCGGTTCACAAAAGCGAGAGTTAATAATAGTAACGCACACACTCAACATAGCCCCGCGGGTGCCATGGACACACACTGGTTGTCTATAACCACAAATTACACCCAAACTCTCGAGAAAAATAAATGTAGGCCATGCAAATATATCTCCCGGCCCGGGAATCGAACCTGGGGCCTCTGCGTGGCAGTCCGGCATGGTAACCGTTCGGCCACGGAGGCAATTTCGTTATCGTGTAACATACATAAAAAACACAGTCGAATGAGAACCTTCTCCTTTTTTTGAAGTCGGTTAAAAAGTGGCGTAGTGGGGGAAAGCTGGCCCAACGTACAATTGTGTGCAAAACAATTATCATATTTTTGTTTTTTCTCCTGTCTTTCTGGGAATATGTAAAAAATACAGCTTAATGCGCGCGACTATATCCTTGATGTCAGCGGGACGTAGACGTGGGAGGCAAGGGTCAACTGATCTGCCAATCGCGCGCTCAATACGATACTGCCCCGCCGTCGCTATCCGCACCTCACCACCAAAGAGACTTCAAATGTATTCTAAAGGCGCATTCAAGGTCATTGGTCAAAATGTTTGCCGGTTCTGCACACGGGATTATTTCATTATGATTTTCTAACGATATGCAATAGCAAGTTGATTGAAAAAAGTGCCTACCAAATTAGTCCAATTGTTGTTATGTGAAGCGATAATTTAAAAAAAACTGTTTAATTGCTAATTCAAATGAATGACAAGCCATTTGGTCCTTTTTTCAATAAACTTGTTATTGAATATCGTCAGAAAAATGTTATTGAAATTATACCGTGTGCAGCGTGACGTGACTGTTACGTAAATAGTCACTCCTCCCGCACCGCGCAACTACCTCAGGAACCGACGCGGTAGGCCTGTAAAATCGGTTACAGTTGACTATGTATGATATAACACCACTAGTTTTGAAGTAAGGGTTATGGGTCCCTGCGGTTTAGCGTGTAGTAGTGCAGATGATATTGTAGTAAACGAATTTGTCCACTTAACAGAGACACCTGACGGCAACAGTAAGTTATAGAATGGGTCGAAGATAGTAATTCAACGTTAGTGAAACGTGGATATGCTATGCCCGTCGTCAAATAGACGCTTGTAGACCAGCTGCAGTGGCGCGATTGTAGCGCTTCAGTAATTTTCACTAATAGTGACTTCAAAAATAGCGTGCGCATGTCACGACAATGGAGCTGCAATTGTGCTTCTACAAATCCGTGATTTGAAAAATCCGTGACTTTAAGAAAAAAAAAAATTTTTTTTATTTTAATTTATTTGTCTACGTAATCTCCTTTTAACTTTATACACCTTGACCAGAGATATTCCAACTTTTTCAACCATCAAAAAATATTTTTTGTCAAACTGAAAAATAAGCTTCTGTTTCCGCCATCACTTCCTCATTTGAAGCAAATCGGTAGAAAATCAGATAAAAAAGTCAAGTGGGGCTAATCTGGTGAGAATACGGGCTGTGGCTTCGTATCATAATTCGACAAGTGTTGATGTTCGGACTGCAGATGAGAAATAGAACACTAGAAATCTTCAAAAAATATTGAGATTCGCTCTGGGCCTTTTGGAGGGAAAAGTGTCGTTTTTATTTTGACTTTCAATTATTTTGTGAAATCTAGTTTAAAGTGGAATAGGATAGTGCTGTTGTGCCTTAATCGAAGATTAAAACGCGAAATTATACGAATCTCGAACTAAAATACCCGTATCGGCCCGTTCTAAGGAATCCCGAGTCAATCCTAGCACGCCGCCTCAAATTGCCTATCCTCTTTGTGGCGGCCATATTCACAGAAATATAATTAAACGTTTATGTTTTCGGCTGAAGGACTTTGTTTCCATGGCCAGAAATAAATTTAAAAAAGAAATAAAAAAATATTTATTTGTTTATTTATTAACCTCACCTAACTTTTTTAAATTCAATTTTTTTATTTTCGCGCCAATTCAAAAAGTGTAAGTTGCTTATTAAAGGTTTAGTAAGGAGTTCTAAATTAAGAAATTAAAAAAGTAAATTCGGAAAGGAGTTTTTATTTAACCTTAAAGTCACGTATTCATCAAATTCACACTCGTTTCAGCGTCTAATTTAAAGGTGCCTCAAGGTTCTCTCCGAAGTGATCAACTAACAAAATGATGTTAACTATGGAAATGCCCTAAAATTTTAACAGAGTATTGCGAATCGTTATTAATAATAACAACTGTGATAGAATTGAGAATAATGAAGTATTTTTCAGCTTCAAATATTTATTTTATTAATTTAAAAATAATTTTATTATTAACGTTTACTTTGACCAATGGAATTTATTGAAGTTTTAATTTATTAACTAGGACAAATTGTTTTGGTTGTATTTTATTTACCAAAGTTTTTATTATATTTAAGTACATTAGGCAACTGATACGGACTTTAGCTTATAGCAACTTATAATAAGAAACATAATAATTGTAGTAGAACAGTAGAGAATGCCTTTTAGATGTAAGTGTTACCAAATACTTGCAAGGTGGTATTTACAAACTTTGCCTCTGTTACCAAACATGATGATATGATTGCTAGGGATTTTAATTTTGGGAATCCAGCTTTATGAGAAAAGACACTTTTTAAGGAAGCGAGCCCCATCTTTGACCACGATTGTGATCAAAGGCCTAGTAACTATCTAGAAAAAAATCAATACGAGAACATCATGTACTTACAAATATGTACATAAGGCAGTAATAATAAAAAAATACATTCTGGTGGGAATTAGAATGTAACCGTACCTTGTTTACAAAGATTATTTATGAAAAAAGATACATATTTTATAAGGTCAAATGTCGAGGATCATCCTACATGTCGAGGAGCCCGAGGCTAAATCCAATAAGAATTTTAGTGACTGAATGATATTTATTTGTTTAAATATGGTTTACAAATATACATAATAAAACAGTCTTCGTATTTTACCGACACTGGCTTGCACATCTTTGGATAGGTATCTACATTTTGGCAGCTTGACAATTCTAAATAATTAAGATTAACGAACCTTACACCAGTAAAATCAGCATTACTGTGTTTCGGATTAGAAGGGAGATGGGTGCCAGTGGTATTGCCCCCAAGATAATACATGACTTGTTCAACTTGTCACGTGGTATCATAAAAAAAGAACGCAATGAGTTATCTAACACAATTTAGTGTACTTTTCATACACTTTTAATGGTATAATGTACCGGGCAAGAAAATGACACTATTCATGACTAAGTGGATTTGACACGGGTCCCTCGATATCTTTAAAATTACAACTTAAAATGGCAATAACATAAGCACAAGAGTATTATATTGTGCTCTGCGACCTTTGTGTGCATCATTACAGGTTCCATAAAATTAATTTGTCAATGCCAATAAGGGAAAGATTTACGTGGACTTATTGACCGTTATTTAGATAAAATTAATGAATGATTTATTACCAATTAATATTTGGAATGATTGAACGAGACCAATAGAATAAGTTTTAAAGACGTTAAAGTAGTTGGGTGATCAATCAATGTGATAAGCATTGACTTACAAATAAATGGACGACGGGTCTAATACAAAAACCACGAAAAAAATGTCCCAAGTCAACCTATTCGAAATTTAAATTGTAATGTCATCGCAGTATCGCGCTGTCCGTAGAACAAATGAAGACTAAAGCGGAGTTTGGCGCTCTGTATACGATTTTACCGCCTTACAAGTGCGGACACTTTTTAGCGCGGACCCGACGTCCATATAATTGTAAGTCAATGGTGATAAGTATTATTTTATTTATGGACCATAGTTTTCTTTTATTGATATTTTATTTCGTTTGTAATTTCTCAAAGTTTTGATATATTAATTTATCGATTCAAATTTTATTTAGAATACCGAATTGGGCACTTTTTCAGAAAGTATCCAAACATTAAACGTAAAGGATACAGCTACATGTGTATACAGCCAAGAGAAATATTACTTAATATAAATAAAGTTTTTCAGGTCTTTAAACCTTTGTTTAAATGTAATAAAATAATATTGCCGGGATTGCGAACTTAGGATACGGTGACGTTTCCTTGTTTACCTCTTAGAGGATTCCATAAAGGTTAGAAAAAAAGAATTTTGTCCATCCTTTAAGGAATAGTCTAAGGTTTACTTACGTAATGACGTAACGTGGTATATTTGACGTTTGCCACTAAAAACGTTGCTATTTCACAAAAAAATAGTTTGAATGGTTGTTTTTATTATACAAATGTGCTTTCTAAGTATATTTTAGGTATCTTCTAAGTCCAATTTCCTATTCATGATTATAGTGCGGAAAATTTTGCTACAGATCTCCTCGTGTAGTAACGTCATCTAACGAAATTGTAAAGAACTTTTGCTTCGGCCCTTTGCTGAGCAATTATAGTTTTACTGACTTTCAAATCTTATTATGTTTTCTGTGCTATATTGTGATTTAAAAAGCTTAGTAATTAACAAATAACTTTGTAAAGACACTGCTGTGTCCATTTCCTTTTTATAGTTGAAAATGCGGTGTTGACAAACTCCATCCCGACTGACGTCCAATGTGGCATTTTTGACAGATTCAGCTGAAATATATTTAGATTTACAAATCGAATATTGTGATATTCTGTCACAAATAAAATTCATACCTATATAGTATTTAACATAATATACTTATTTAATAAAATCAATAACTTTAAAACAAAGATAAAAAATATCGTATAAAACTGGAGCAAAACTGAAAATAAAATAAACACTCAATTGGTGCTTTTGTCTATATCATAAAAGCGAACATTGATTAG